TATATATGTATATATACAGCTGTAAGTTAATATCTTGGTTGCATACCACGAACGAGATCCACATCAATCAGTTCTGTCTTGAGTTTTGTTGTCCTCATTGGAACATGTGTAAGTCCATCAAGAATATGTTGTTCTATGGTTCTCTCCCATTGTTGCTTATCATATGTTCCAATCTTTTTTTGATACCTGAAAAAATTTACTTATTATTCTAGTTATCATTCCTGTCTGTATTTCTCTGTCGTTGTTACTTTCCAGTCAATATTAACATCCAAATTAAATTTCCCAATTCGGGAAATCATATTTTGTTGATAAATATCAAATTTTAAGATAATAAAACAAATTTGATATGATCAATTTCTTACCAATGCACCAGTTCGTTGAGACCCATATGGATCAAACGCATTAGCATATGCAGCTTGCAACAATGCTTTTTGATTGCAATGAAAATACAACAGCTCACGAAAAAATGGAATACTACAACTTTTCGCAAATTCTTTACACGGACAGTTACAAAACAGTCAAAGATGATATCGTCATATCACATATTGCATCGCATCCAAGTGTGTCGAAATTTTCATGCTTATTCAGCATTCGTCAACAAATAGAATGATCTTTTTAATTTCGCATCATCATCTTAGACAAGTCGAACTTGATACTAAGATAGAACGATTTGTCGCACAACAAAGCACAATTCATGAAACCTATGTGGACGGAATATACATCGAAGTATTTATAATCGCCCGATTTGGATCCTAGACATTACCAGACATTCTAAACGAAGGACAAAGGTGGCGATATCGTTATCGCGATTCGTGGTTTCCTTTGAATGAACACTATGGAGTAATTTTAGGTGGCGGCACCGACAATATTTGTAGTCTGTAGGCAAAGAGAAATCTTTCTCTCTGGTAGGTCACTGACAGATGCTGGCAGAATCAAATAATATCCGGACTATTTTGTTAATATGAATAAAATTGTTAGTTTTTGGTTGTTTAACATAAAAAAACAGGACAACAAATTAAATTGTTCTTAAATGATTCTGCCGGTTGAATTAATTACTGCGGAATTTAATCGAAATTCTATGTCTGCTTTTATACATGCATAATATTTCTTATATTTGAAACGACAGTATATTTGAATCAATACTAATAGAATCATAGGGCGTTGAAAAGGGAAAGAAAATCTGAGAATTGATCAAATTCTGATTAATTTTATATCCATTTCTTCTAATATAATAGATTAATTTTAATCAACTTTAATACTCTCGGTTTAATTCACTTTTTATCTTTTCCTAGTTTCCTAGTTTCTAAGAATTAAAAAGAAAAAATCCAAACGAGAATGGATTAAAATGGATTGAAATTTTTTTCTATCCGAATGCGTATTTTAAATAGCGAATACTTTTTTTGGCTTTAATTGGATGCAAATTTCAATTAGATTCAATTGGATTGAAAAATTGCATTTCCTATTCAAAATTTTGAATTGAATAGTATTTACAATTGTATATGTGTGCACAAAAAAAGCTAATATTATATTTTTAGATTGAAAGGCATAGAGATATGCTCCATGCAATTCCTATAAATGAATAAAAATGCATTTAGAATTGAAAAGCATTCATTCAACATTTCAATATTCGTGAATTAATATTTCTGAAAATCTGAATCCATTTCAATTCATTCTCATTGCTTGGAAAATAACGAGTAAAAATTAAAATAATTAATCTATATTTTTGTACAAATGGACATTAATAAACAATTAACTTAAAAATTGATTTCTGCAGATTTTCCAATTACTGTATAATTTATTCTTATCTTATTCTTATCTCATTCTATTTTTCTAAAATTAATTATTTTACTAACAAAACAGTATAGTATATAAATATTACTTGAAAAGTTAAACGTCAATTAAATTAATTCATGCTAGTTTAATCAAAATCGCTACTTCAATGTAGATTAACTTTAATTTAAAAAAGAGTATATTAAAGTTAATTAAATTTAATTAATTTAATTAACTTTAATATACTCTTTTTTTAATCTTAAAATGAAAAATAAAAAGTAAATTAAAATTAAATCAAAATTAAAATTAATCGATTTAAGTAGAATATGTAATAGAAATTGAAATAAACGAGCTTTCTTTAATTGTTTTCTGTTTGGACGCTTCAATGTTTTTATCCTTGTTTTACGTCTAATGAATTATAAAGACAAAATGATGATTACACACACTTAAAAAGCGTGAGTGACCAAATCAAACACAGCTGATACCTTTAACAATTACGCATAATTATGTTAGGGCGTTCCTAAACTCATGGAAGGAAGACTACGCATTTAAAGAGCCGGAAAATAACATAACCTATAAAATGCATATTTTGAAAAGCCTTACGAATATTATATACAGATTCGTTAAGAATATAAAAACAGTAAATAGTTACAAGTTTGAATCATTCTGTGCTATATAATTTTGGGGCAGAATTGGAGGCTTCTACACAGTCGAATCATTTGGACATAATATAACAAAAAGGACCTGCAAAATATGATGCTTTTATTAAAAAGATAAAAGGAGGATACGATTATTGATTCATGATTCTGTATTATATACATAACATCTTCAGATTTAAAAAATGGAAAATATTACTGTTAATTGGTATCTGCATTCTTGCTTTAAGAATCAACGTTATTTTACAAAGTTTATATCCTTCTGTAACACAGCTGACTGAGCTGCAGAAGTGTCCAGCATGTTATGGCATTTCTGCATGTCATAACATTCACAAAATAGATCTCCTGTGGAATGATGTTAATGCGATAATTTCTCATTTGTTTGGTGTTAAAAATGTATTCTTTGGAATATATAATCAAAGTAAAGTGGTCCTAAAAAAATTGGCACACTCTTCTGAATTAAAAGCACTTGATGTCACATTATGCAATGAACTCCATTTGGGATATCCCTGCTCTAATGTTCCATTAGACAGATATAAAGCAGATTTTTATAATCTTATTAGAAAAATAATTACTTCTGATTTTTCCAAGGATGATACAAGTCGATTAAGACTTTGTCCAACAATCAGACATTTAGATGATCTGTTTTACAATGTTCATCTTAATAATAAACACATTGATCCCACACAATATCTAATTAATCTCTGGACATTGGTTTCCATAAATCCAGAGCCATTAATACTTCAGGTAAATTATAATAAAAGTATATAGAAATTATATTGGTTCATTTTAATTATAGGATTTGTTAGATAATGTTAAATTATTTTTTGATAGAAAGATTGAATACAATTATATATTTTATATATGTATCTCTCTAAACGCTTCTTTTAGATATTATCTACTGAAAATGGATGGCCTGTGCCAAGATATTTCGGAGCTTGCGGTCGTATTATTGTTGAAGAATATGTTGGGTTACCGTTGTCTGATTATTATGACAAATCTTGGATTCAAAGAGTAAAAATAGCTTCAAGCCTTTTAAATGCTGCTTATTTGTTTACTTTCAAAAATGAAATGTTTGGTTTTTACTTAACGGATATATCAGCTGATAATATTGCTGTTGACCATGAAAATGTAGCAAAATTTATTGATTTAGAGAATATTATTATTGTTGACAAAAATATTTCTCAAGGTAGTAAAAATTTTCTTGTTATAAAGACATTTATGAAATAAGCAAGTGAATATTACACTGCATTTATATGATATTAATTTGTAGAATCTGTTGAACCAAAGGACTGGCAGAAAATACATAATACAATACACTTCGATTGTCCTAATTGTTTTGTATTTTCTTCCAAAGATATTTGTAATCATCATTTAAGTGATCACAATTATTATGCAATTTGTCAGGTAGCTATT